TGAGGCTTCTCCACCCCGCACAACATGATCCACTCGACCACCATTCACGGTTACCGCCAAAAAAAAACCGGAGGCAAAAAAAAATGCGGACACCAGGTTGCCGAGCTCACGAGGTGAATTGGCTTGATTCACAACGTCTTTGCCAAGCGACGAAAACCCAATCCCGATGGCAAACACCGGGGGGGGGNTCTATTCCATGCCTCAAACATCTCCCTGTACGTTCCATCTATTTTTCCCAGCTCAGTCACGTACACTTCCCTCTCCTTCTTGTACAACGGACATAACAAACACCGGGGGGGGGCGGCTTGTTTTACAACGTCGTTGCCAAGCGACGAAAACCCAACCCCGATGCCAACGACCGAGGAGGGGGAAGGGGGGGTGGGGGGGGGGGGGGGTTAGGTGCTTAGCTTTGTTTTACGAGGCATACCCCGCGTCGCGTGTCATTGGGGTGCCTGCCACGCTGCGTGCCATGCACGAGAGTCATGTCTTTACCCCTTAAAATATTGAAAGAGCTCGGCCAGCTGTCGAAGTTGAAAGGAGCTGTAGCTCTTGATCGACACTTAGAGGCCATCAAAGCACATGTCATTGCTGGCAACTGCCCACGAAGTCAGACTGGGAGGACATCGAGTCGGCGCGGGGGGGACGAAAGCCTTCTGACACCTCTCCCTTCGTCGCACCCACTAGTTGTCGAATTCAAGCGTCTGAACCCGCTGCTCTTGACAGTTCGTTGCTGCATGTGGAGTACTCGAAAAACTGAGCATGGGCTGATTTGGTGAGCTCATCACTCGGCCGTCTTAGGAGCGTACCCGCCACCTTTACGACTGCCGTGTGCATTTCGAGCTACATGTACATTTAGACCAAAGAAGCGCCGCATGAATGGCGTTGGGCAAGTACACTGAAGATGCGGGCGCTGTGGTAGGGTGGTGGGCTTGGCTTGAGGGGATCGCGCCGTTGAGTAGGGAGGAGGTCCGGCATTCGAAGAGCAGGTTGAAGGTTGCTATGTAGCTACGACGGGCGTTGGATAGAGCGGGGACGGCAATCACGCCGAAGGTCACCCTTGTGGACCTCTAAACGGTTCAACGTGTTTACTCAGATGCGTCGTTTTTTCAGGAGATACTGCGTCTGTATTTAACTCTACCCTATCGTGATCTGCGGTACGTCGATTCCAGAGGTCTCTGTTGAGCGACGTTCAATTTAGGGAAATTGACAAAAGTGGGTATACCCCCGCCATTCTCGGACAAAAGTGGGTCCTCGAAAATCCACCGCGCGCGCACTCTCAAAGCAACCTCCAAACGACTCAACACCTCATTCTGACACCTGGGCGACACAGCCAGGGACCATACACAGCACGGGCGTCGATTTTTTCCCCATTTTCAGGCACACCTTTGGCTGAAATACCGCCGAGGCGCGCAAGGCCTCACCAGAGTGCCGACTTCTGTCCGACATCGCGGTGGGTATACTCAGCGGCGTCAACTATTTTTTTCATGTACCCACCTATATCTATATTTTGATCCACTTTGGTCCAAATTGTACCCACTTGTGTCCACCTACTGTACGGACGGCGGAAATCGAGCGGAAGTCGACCTCCACGTCACCGCACGGCACAACAGCGAATAGCCTCGGAACGTCTCAGAACCTCCCAACACCGTATCCTTGGCTGCCGACTGCGGACCGACCACGGAGGAATATGTCCGAAACATGCCAGGCCCCTTCGGTGTCGGCACGGGAGGACACCAGGCACGGGAAGATGCCCGCGGCAAGCCCAGCAAGCAGCGCACTAGCGACAAATGCCACAAATCAATGCGTGACACACAACGGACAACAGAACCAACGGGTCGCGCATCAGGAAAAAAAACACGCGCATACAGCAACAATACACACACACGCGCCACACACACAAAAAACACCAACCACCACGACAAGTGCACACCGCCTTATCACGGCAGCAGTAGGATGTCGAAGCAGCTTGCTCTGCAGGGCGCCCGCGCAGGGTCGAGCGCGGGCGCACCTTTGTCAACTGCTAGCGGCGCCATGGTTCAGGGGCACCTTTTTCGACGTCCTCAGCCTTCAAACATGCATTCGAGCGCTGCATGATCTCACAGTCTAGGCAGTGCAGGCTAGACAAAAGGGATAGTGGCGGTCGGAGCAAGCTCCACCGCTGCACGGGAGCCATCATCAACGGGAAGGCGACATCCGGCTGCCCGGTGCGTGCGCGGGGTTGCAAGCAAACCGATGGCACCTGGAAGGTGACGGAGGCGGTCCTGGATCATGTGGCGTGCACCGGCCAGGCCGGCAACAAAAAGCAGGGGATCAACCGTCGATGTGTGGAGAAGCAAGCAGCGGCGCTCGTGAGTGCGAACCACAGCATCACCTGTCCCTCACTGGTGAAGACGCTGAAGGCAACTTCCGGCGTGGATATCAGCGAGAGGACAGCTGGTAGGATGCGCGTGGACATCCTGGGGAAGGGAAACGACGCGATCGCCAAGGAGTACCAACTCCTACAGAACTACTGCGACCTTCTCGGGAGGGACAACGGCAACATCGTGGAGTGCCGAGTGAGTCGTTTATCGTGTCGTACGTCAGAGTTGGAATGTCAGTACCGTTTAGATGACACAGGACATGGAGGTACGCTCGTCAGAGCGGTGCTATACTGCCGTACTTCTTTTGTTTCCCTGGCATCCTACATAAGATGGGGCGCAGTACGCTGCGCTGCTCTGCTGATCCGTCTCGTTCTTGATTTTTTTCCCGCTCTTTTCGTTGCAAATATATTGCCGCCACCCCTGCATCTCGCCCGTTGGAATACCGATACCCAACCGATGCATTGACATAGCACGCACCACTTCTAGGAATTAGGCGAGTCTTGTTCTGTTTGAATGCAAGCAGCCTTGCCCTGCACTCGCCGTTGATAGCATCTTACCCTAGCTAGGCCAAACAAATTTTGAAAACGGGCGACGCAGATGTTGAGAAGTATGGGGAGGGGTACTGCTGTAAGAGAGCCCACCACCAAACTTGTTATCTTACCCTCTCTCGTGCTCCCTAACCCCGTTCCTTCGTGCTTTTTTGAAACAATTAAACAGTGGGACAACGAAGGTAACTTCAAAAGTCTCTTCGTGCTGCTCGGCGCGGCGGCGCGCCAAGCAACTGCCGGCGCTCAGCAGGTAAAATGCGCGCTAGCACGCGCCTCACAAAAATAGTGCATGTCCCCGTCCGCGGGTGGTTCTCCGTTGCGTCTTGGCGAACACCTGCTACGATAATAACAGCAAGATTAGTACTTCGTACGACACTCTCAACAGGAACGCAGCGAATAACACCAACGAAATACATGTCAAGAGTTGCCCCCCCTCCCTGCTTCCAGAATTTGAGAAGAGGGGGGTACGCGGGGGTTCCGTCTCATGCATGCATGCGGTGTGACTGCAGCTACTGCGGTGTGACACACAAACGTGTGGCCGTAACTGTGATGTGTGTGGTTGTTCGTGTGTGTGACGAAGGTCATGTGGTAGAAGCGCCGTCGTCTACAGCAGCAGTGACCGGGACCGCTAACCGATCGTTGGAGCTGATCTCGAAGGGGTACTCCCTCGAAACGTTCCGCGCGGCCGCGAACGATTCGACCTACTGCATCATTCCGCCCGTATGGGACGACTTCACGGTCAACCCCCAGCACAGCCCACCGCTGCACGTTCAAGGGACGGCAGGTCGGCCGAGGAGCGGACCACGCAAGAGAAAGCGCATCCAGTCCAACGGCAAGCTGAACACGTCATCGCGAAGTTACGCCATCTACAGCGCTAGCGACAGAGCCAACGGCCGTGTTGGGGTCATGCCCACGGGTGGGGGTGCAGCCGGCGGCGGATCCAGCACAGTTGACCTGTCACAGTGGGCGTCGCAAGGCGCACCCTAGATGCAACACGCATCCAGTAGACTGCACGGACGACTGGAGGGCGGAGGCTTGTTTTCTTGCTGTTGTTTTCAGTGGGCTCGAGTGCAAACGTATGGTTGCTAGGACAAACTTTTGTTGCGTTGTGTGCCCTTGCCCTGTTAGTGTGTTGCGCGACACTGTGCTTGGTTCATCACTCTTGCATTCTCGGGATTGCCGCGTTTTCGCGAGTGCACTGGAATGCAGCAAAGATATTTTCAACGAAAATTGCGATATTTTGTTAGTGATACCAACGATTTCTCGTGATTATTTCTAGACTAAGCGCATGGCGAAGAGGTTGGCTTGTCATGGTGTGTCGTACACTCATAAGCTTGTACGGCATCCTCTACACCACCCCTCTCTGTCGTTGTGCGGTCCACACAAAAGAGCTGTGGCGACGACCATGGTGTTTGCATTATTAGTGCGTTGTTGAGCTTGCCAAGTACGGAGGAGTGGGCGTTTTAGCCCTGAACGTGACCCTGCCCTGCTTGTTTTGAATCAAGTTCCCCGGGTAGATGGCGCCTGAAAGCATAGTTTGACACGGGTTGACAAGTGTTTCGATATTTTCATCTCTGCTGATCAGATCGAACAACATGGATGTCGTGACGGTGCTGCTGTTCCCGAGGATTCTGTCCCTTCGTACTGGGGATCTGGTGAAATTCGAACATCATTGACGTTGCTGCTGTCCGAAGTATGCTTCGATACAAATATTTGCCTACTTTTGATGCGCTGCACGCCTGCTTTCTGGCATTATTCGGAAAAAACAACACCGAGCAACTAGGTCAGTGCACAAGGTATAACCGAACAACCATGTTTCCTAACGAAATCGACGGCAATCCCCTGTTCCAAAGAGCCGTGGAAAACAAGTTCCTGGTACACGAGCGCCAAAAAAGACACATTAATGAGCGTGACGAGAAATACAAAAAAAGTGCGGAAGACTGATCGTTGCCGATTTCGTATGCATCATGCAAGTACACTCCTTCGGTACATCATGCGGAAACTACTCGTGTTGGTGAGGACGCGGCTGAACCATGACAGCGCAAATGAAATGTCCAAGTTGATGGGTATGGTGCCGCGTTTTTTACCCCTCCGCGCCCCCCCCCACCCGGTGTTTACCATCGGGGTTGGGTTTTCATCGCTTGGCAACGACGTTGTAAAACAAGCCCCCCCCTCCCGGCTTCCCCGGTGTTTTGCCATCCCGGTGTTTTGCCATCGGGGTTGGGTTTTCGTCGCTTGGCAACGACGTTGTAAAACAAGCCGCCCCCCCCGGTGTTTGCCATCGGGATTGGGTTTTCGTCTCTTGGCAAAGACGTTGTAAAACAAGCCAATTCACTTCGTGAAC